GCTAACTGGGTTGTCTTAATTTGTATCGCATACCCCAACCAGCCTGTAATGCCTCCAAACAAAATACGTTCATAATTTCTGCTTTAGTGTCATGCACAACCCACGTCAACTTTATAAATCCATGCAATGAGCACTAACCTTCCTGATGAAATACGCCATCTGTAACCAAACAAATAAGAACGGGTTCAAATTCAGAAAAGTGATCGGTTTGCTCAAATAATGCTAAATAAAACTGTAGGTTTCCCTGGCTAGTTGGCTTTAAAAAGTTTCATTTTGAAGGATTTCTCCATGTGCATTTGGGAACGTTACCCAGGACTTATTTATCCTGTCTTAGAAGGTTATTTCCCCCCTTTGAAGGGGTATTTATTTATTTTCTTTCTTTTTTTTTTTGGTGATACCAGTTGAAATCACTGTACAAATGCCCTTAAGATTTAGTATAAAGTCTGAATTCTACATGCATGATGTCATGACTGGGGGACTTTTTTCTTTTTTCATTTCCTTCAGCATCTATCTACCTCATTCTCTTTTATTTTAAATGTGTAAGTGATGAAATGATAAAAATACATCCCACTCTTTTTCTGTGGAGGACACATTATCATCCTCTGTCTTGTCTCTGATTTAAAAAAAAAAACCTCTTTAAGCACCACAAAGCACAAGCTCCCAGGAATGGAGAGAGAGGAAGTCATGGTGTGAGCTTACATGCCTATGGGATTCCTAATGCCGTGTCTCTTGCATCCCTTATCACATGCCCAGCAACACAAAAATCCCACTGCTTTCAATCAAGCTGCAGTACTTTTTAAATAATCATATTAAAATGCCTAATTCACCTGATGGCTTCAACATGATGGACCACAGATAAAATGTAGTTGCTATCAGTGTTTTTCCTCTGTATTTATTATTCTTTTTCAGTGATCTCTCCTTATTCACCATCTAATAGATGAAACTGTTCGTAAAGGTTTAGGAGAGCAAGTCAAGAATACAAATGCTGGCAAATCAAAACAGTTGCAGCAAGAAAAGTCACATGAAGTGTAATTCATGTAATTAACATTACATCACAGTTACGTCAACAAGAAAAACTGTACATTATTTTTTCCCCATTAAATTTCATTAGCTTACATGATCTTATTCAGTAACTCATCTGCAGCATCGACAGAGATCATGGCACTGGGCATCCTGTTTCCCAGCATGCCCTTCTCAGACACAGTGCTTCTGCACAAAAATGTTGTGTCTCCTACTTTTTTCAGTAGCCTATAATTGAAGGTGACTTTAATGCACACTGATAACTTCACCTAGTTTATAAATACCACTGGGTTTTTTTTTTTACAATCAGATCTTTTTTTTTTACCTTTTGGCCAAAGCATCTAACAGTTGAATGCATAATGTGGATTTTGTAACACTTTCTTACAACAAACCAGTGGATTTTTTCCCCTTCTCATAAACCTACCTGGAAAAAACATTCCAGTTGATTTGTTTGGTAAGATGCACTCTACGTGTCTAGTGAGTATATAGAAAGGGCCAATTGTTGTCACCGTGTTCATCGACATCATTCTCTAGAGAGAGAAAGGGCTGTCGTTTTGCCTCTCTTTTCTACTGCTGCTGACAACATGCTGCTTTACAGAGACTACAAATAGTCTTTCCAATAGCACTGGGTAGGCGGTGGATCTCAGAACATGCTTTCTCTCTCTAAATAACCATTAAAAAAACACAATGGGTCAGACAATTCAAATGCAAAGTGGATTCCGAGAAAGTCACGGTCTTACTGCCCCTGGTCCTTCTGTTTCATGGCACTTAAAAATGTTCTTTGACTTTAATATTTTGGATCTTTTGAACTCCAGGGGTTGGAAACAAGGGCGCTTGGAGGAAAAGACCTGGTCGCGTTGCTGAGAGGCACATTGTTTGAAAAGAATATTATTCTGTGTGGTACAACAAGATGATCGAAATAACCATTCTGTAAAAGCCCTTGTGCTTGTATTGTTGCGTATGTATATGGGTGGGAGTGTATCACATGTAGATGTAGTGATTAAGATTTTGATGTGTTTATAATGGGAAAATAATAGATATCACTATTTATTTTTGTTTCTTTTTTTCTTTCTGTAATGAATATGGACAAAAGCATTGGCCTGTTGCAAAGTGAATGTCAGTTTTCATTGAATGCTGCCACGGTTCCTTAGTTACCAGTAGGTTACAGATCTACAGAAATACACATATACACAGACACAAATAGGACAGCGATGTCCAGTAGATTACGGGTAGTCATGACACAGAGAGAATAGACTGACTAGACATGACTAGAATTTAAAATAAAAAGAGACAAGTTTACAGTAGAAATAGCTTATGTTGCAATGCAAGTTCTCTGCAAACCTGAAGGTAGATTGACTGAAAGATGTTTTTCCCTCAACTATCATAAAAACTATTAATACTTTATTCTATTTCTTAATAATGCAAAACCTCAGGTTTAGAAAAGATGCATGTATGCATTTTAATTGCAATAATGAGCTTGAGGTTTCACAGACATCATTTCCCAGGCACTGTTGTTTTTGCTTGGCATTCCGACAAATTTCAAAAGGGGCCTTGATCTACTGTACTGAAAAGAGTTTAATAACACTTTTTATTTTCCTTTCACAAAAAAAGAAACAAAAAATGAGGAAAAATAAAAATCTCTGTGTCCCTGCATTGCTTTGTAGAAACTGATGGTGAAACGGCTTGGCTGGTACTCTCGGCTTCTTGTAAGTTATGTATCTAAGACCTCCTGTTTTTCAGTTTTCTCCTCACCACCAGTTGAGATGGTAGACTTTTTACATGCCATTGGCTTAATGTATATCTGAAGAATTTTCATGTATTTTCTTTTTTTCTTAAATTTTGAATTAAAAAATGAATTGAGTCTGAAGGCCTGTGTCGAGCGTCACTTATTGCATTTCCGCTATGTAATCGGTGATAGGATTATGTTTTGTGGAGGATGTTTTCTTTATTGTTTTCTACCTGTCCTGAGGTTGTGTGCAGGGCGGTCCAGCTGGCATAACACAGCCTGGATGACGGTCTGGAGTTGTGGTACCAGTCTCTCTGGGCTTGCCAGGCTGCCTGAGGCTGGCACATGGATCAGCGCAGCCTTTCCCTGCCCACGGTACAGCGAATAGTAGTATACAAAATCACACAGGTACCTGCAAGTTGTAAACTTACTGTTAGTGTATACATGCCATTTCAACATTTGTTAACTCAACAACAGTATTCACAAATAAAAGTAGCACACTTAATACTTTGTTGAATTAATTGTACAAGACTTTAACACAATTATCCTTTATAGACAATATTTTCGATGTTAGTCTCATTACCTCCCAGCGTCCCTAGAGTAGATGACATCAAGCCCCATACTTTTTAAATGCTTGCTAAGGGACCTCATGTCTATGATGGAGTCCAGTCGTTCTGGTCCTCCCTCAATGCAGCAGTGACGATCAGGGCACAGACCACTCACATCCCTATCTTTGAAGCAGTGGTTCTTCCCTGTTTGCTCCAGTGTGATGCCTTTGGCTCCTGGAGCTATGCCCAAATGGATAACAACCTGCCCATCACAAAGAGAAAAGGTCTCTATCACTCTTTTTGTATCAAAATACCTTCAGTGTTAAGACACATAATCTCAGAATATTTAACAAAGCATCTTGTAATCTCTCCTCTGTGATGAAGTGTTCCTCCTCGGCAGCTGGTCTGTGTGTATATATTAGTTTACCTGTTTAAAGTTACCTTTGGAGTCATCGTCTGCCAGATGTCATCAATGACTTGTTGGGATTTTGCATAACTGACAGGAATCTCCTTAATATGGACCTCTATGCCCAATCCAAGTCCTGCCATCTTCAAACCCTGTTTAAACAACAAAGTGTGGCCATAGTGCGTCCATCTGACTGACGAGAAGTTATAATGACTTTACAGTAGCTGTATTGTAAGCACATTTATACGAGTTTGTACCATGTACATCAGTTTCAAATGTTATTTGTATTTTTACAGTAACCGCTCAACCTTTAAAATAGCATTCTGTTAAAACGTGAGATACAAAAAGAAAACACAAAATGCACAATTAGATAGTTAAAAATTGTGCCTTTTGTTTTCGTTTAAGAAATAACAAAAATACGTGATTGGAATTGGTTGTTTACTCCTATAATTTGGTCAGATTGTCCAAACACACTTTAGAATTCAATAATAATTTATTTTAAAATGGTCTCTAGACACGACCAACACCTGCTGCTTATCAAAAATGGCTTTGGTGTAGGCCTACCTTAGCTGCCTCCCAACTTGGATTCACAACATATTGTCGGAAAGGACCAAAACCTAGTAAAACAGATCAATAAATTATCCACGTGTGGTGTGACATAAAGTAACACGATTAAGGCGACGGTTTTTTTTAAATATATATATATATAAACTGCACAGGTGCACAGCGAAACCATTGCAACTGCAACGCAACTTTCGCTCGACGTACCAACCCAGAATAATCCACCTACCTGTTACAACTACAATTTCGCGAGAAGTGTCCATCGAGATGAGGCTGTATTATATTTAAACTCAACGGTTTACCGCCTTTTTATAACTGAAGATGAAAGTAACGCAATTCATACAACTGTAATATTATATATTTTAAATGTCCTGTATATGGCTGTTACCGAAAGTGACACTTTACGCAACTGAGGCTGTACAAGAGGGAGTGCATTGTCCATTTTTCTCCACATGGGAGAGCCATCTCATATCCTATCATAGAGCTAAAGACGCACTCCTTCAAACATCTCACTAGACGGGACGGAGTTTGTACAACCAACTATGGCTAAGGACTGATTCGTGAATATTAATTACAGCGTGCTGACGTTGTTAAGCAAACTTCCCGGGGCGTCCACTCACATAACCTAATTAATATTCAACTGCCTCGCGCATATTTGTTTCAGCAAATCACATAGCCCTATCGGGCGAACGTCGCGTTGCGTAATTAATATTCATAAGCTCAACCGTCACCATAGTAGGACTCGCTAACGGGACATGGGATCAGCTCAAATCCTCCGCACTTGTTCGACTCTGCCTCCGCCCTGCGCTTCTCACCGACGCAGACCACTGATGCCAACGAAATAACTGATCAACTTAGCACATTTAAGCGTAAACCAAAGCTATTAGATTCACACAATTACAAAGGAAAATGTTTCGAATGCGGGAACCGTTTGAGAGCGAGAAGCTCCAACTGCAGGAGCTCAACCAAAGACTCGGCCAGTACCTAATGCGCTCAAAACAGCTGGAACAAGAAAATACCAGCTTGATAAGCGAAATTAATTCAATCCGAACAAACAGGTCTGGAGAATGGGGAAACAAACACATGTCCGAGCTACGGGAAATGAGGAGACTGGTGGAGCGTTTATCTTTCGAGAAATGCAGAGCAGAGATGGAGCGACAGAAGCTGCGCAATGAACTTCAGACGCTTCAAGCGATGCGTTCAGAGGAGGCTTCGGTGAGCAAAGGCGTCGACACGGAGCTGAAAGGCTGCGAGAGGCACCTCCATAATGCGTTTAAGACCAACAGTGCTTTGGAAGATCGCCTCATTGAGCTTGAAAACGAATATAAGTTTTTGGAAGATGCCCATAGAAAGGAAATCGCCCACCTGAGGGACCAGGTGCACTCCCGAACTGTACGCGTCGTGACTCAAACGTATCACGCACCTCCAGCAGTTACGATGGAAGAGGTGCAGGAGTATGCGGCCAACTTCACTGAAAGCTGGCAGGGGACTTTGGACATGTACCGCCTGAAGGTAGAGGAAATCGAAGCGTCTATAAAAGCAGACCAAGCGAGGCTGGACGACATTCAGAGGGAAAAGAGGGAATATGCATCACAGTTCAAGAGGCTGCGTGACGAGATTGAGAAACAAACCAACGTGCAGTTGAACCTCGAGGAGCAGCTCATGAACATGCAAGAACATTTCAGAGCTGAAATCTGCAAGTATCAGGTGGGTATCAAAGCCAAACAGCTAAAAACCACATTGCCACAGATTTCCTGGCATCCTTTTTGGTGAAAACCGGGATTGCGTAAGGATGTAGAATGCTCCTCCAAAAAGAGCACCACACCCACTGTGCTCAGTACTGGTGACAGCAGCCAGGCATGGCACATCATATACACACTGGTGTCCCGTGACTTTTAAAAAAACATTAATGGCACAAATCCCATGTTTTTGTTGATACCTATTAGATTCCTAGATGAAATTAAACATTAAACGTTTTAAACATAAAATGTCCCGTAAACTGGCCCACCTTAGAGGTAAAAAATGATCAAATCAATTTTTTTTTTAAATATATTTTTCGAAAACATTTTCATAAATATGATGAAAATATAATATTGTAAAACTGTTGTTATATATAAAAAGTAACATGTCTGAAGGTTAATCTTTCTGACTTACTGACACTGAGCTTTTGTTGTTAGTTTCTTTTCTTTTTTTAAATATGTGATATGATAGGTCAGAATCGAGAAAACAGTCTTTGCCAAGGGGTCTTTGAGGATATATCACATCACACCACACAATTCTTAAAAGAGTCAAATAAAAGATTACAAAACACACACATAGTGGAAACTAAGCAGTCATAAAATTAAATGAACATTATCCCAACCCCTGTTCTTTCAATGGGCCTCTTAGGATCTTAAGTGAGGAGCACTTCCGCACTGCCAATATCCATGTTTATCATCTCTAGCTCAATGTGCTTTGGAAAAATTGAGCATTAATATTTTATCTCATGATTGCCTCTCTCCAGGGAGAGTGACAAATGAGCAGTTGCTGAAGCAAAGTGCAAGCATCAGTAAAGTGTTGTGCCACTGTGAGCTAAATTGAATGGGCTGCATGGAGGAACTATTACTGCAACTAGGCTATTGAGTGCCAAATATTTGGACTCCAAAACAATAACAGATGAACATTTACTGATACAATTATTCAAGTCTATCAAGTGTGGAGCCATTGGAGTGAAAGGAGAATATAAAGGAATTTAGCATATTGTGTATTTGATTTGTGAATTAGCTTTAAAGCAGATGACCCTTCGGTCATTAAAAACACCTGTCTCTTTATATAAATAATAAGGTTTCATCAGGGGGTGATGTTGGAAGAGCTTTCAAACAGGTGCATTACACAAAGAGTAGCCCCCAAATATATACTTTGGATCAATACGATGCAAGTGGACACCCTTCTGAAAGATAGTGATGGGATAAAAATAGGTTTCATAGTTTAAATGGTATACTACTACGTGCATTATTGAAAAGGCATAACTGAGTTTGAAAGATCAATTAAACTTAAATTTACCAATGGCTTTCTAATCACTTATGAGATTGCTTTAGAAGAAACACTAATCTTTTATCTTCAATTGAACTGTGTGTGGATAAAAGAGAAAATAGTCTAACTAACTTCTTGTCCTGCAGGCTATCATTGAAGAACTGGAGTATGAGCGCAGAATGCTGTCTAACACCATCTCAGAGAAGCTGAAGGACCATCAGGATCTCTTACAGGTCAAGATGGGCCTTGCACTGGAAGTGGCTGCATACAGGTAGAACTTCCACAAAATCAATTAAATGCTGCTTCTCCCTAAATGACCATGTAGTGCCTTCAAGGCTTGAATATAGTCCACATCAGCAGAATCATTTTTTCTTTTTCTTATAATTCAAACACGTTCATTGATTCCAGAGTTCTTCTACTATCCATCCAGTTTTGAAAGATCCCTCAAACTCATATTTGTTAAAGTACTGTCTATGATCTAATATAGCGTAGGGATGAATGACCTGTTTCTGTGCCCTTAAAATGAGTCTCCTCCCACATTCTCTTGGGGACATTAAATATTAATACCAAAATTACTTCTGCTTCATGGACTTTGGCTGGCATGACAGCTCTAAGGACTAGTGCAGGGGTCTTTGAAAGCTATTAAAATGTCTTTTGTTTATATTTCATTGTTAGGGGTTGTCCACGCAGAACTTTTTTTTTTTACATTCCACTGCGCTGATTTTCTGATGTATTTCTATCAAAACGTGCTAGATGGACATCTTTGACCACTGTGCTGTGAGTGATCTTGTGCAGCAACTCATGCATGACATGGAGCTTAAGTTAAAAGATCTTCCATTCCACTTCCCATGTCACACATTTTTAAATGCAAGAAAAGCATGAGTGAACGGCACCTTATTCTGCTATTCTGCTATTCTAAAAACATGTTGGGTGCCTAAAACGTTCTCCATGCACTAATGTGAATATACGCATTGGACTGTTGTCTGTTGACCTTCACAGGGAATACTGCCTGTAGTTCCTCAAAGTTTGCTTCCATTTGATTCTCCAACGTATTTTTCATGTAAAAGCATTGGCAAGGTAGGTTTAAAGCGCTCAAGGACCTGTTTAACCAATTAAACAAAATAGTGGAGATTAGAGTGTTAGTAGTGATCTTAACTGTGTTTCTGCTTAAGGAAAGGTCCATGGGCTTGGTAGGTTTTCTGGTTGCCCTCAGTGTTGTTCACATTTTGTGTGGTCATGGCAGAGCATGGAGGTAGTCAGAGAAATGTGTAGTGAAGTTTGACAGCCTTACACCCCCAACATGAGCCTCGTAGATGTATTTTTAGTCACTGCAGCAACAGAGCGACTAATGCCCCCCCCATTTGGCAAGTCTGCATACAGCCCTACCCATCTTTCCTTGTTAAGAGTGGTTAACTCCTCTGTTTTTATGATTTAATCACTCTACATTTAACATTGAAGCTGATTTATGATTTTCATTCTATTGTAAAGCTGTCTGATGCATTAGCTAATGCACATGAAAGATTAGCATGTGGAGTTATTAAATAAAGCCACACAACAATAGATTACAAATCTTGATTATACTATTTTTGTGTTGTCTTACCCGCTACTTATTTATGTAACCCCACTTCATAATGTGTAGCAGATCCACCATTGCATGTAGTATATGCATATGTAATATGTCATTTGTCAAACATCATTTATTCTTAGAGTCAAAAGTTAGGTTGGTCTCTTTTGCCAGAAGATGGTCTGTTTGTTGCAGTGTTTTGGATACTACTGAAACACAGAAGTGTCTTTCCAGTTGTCTGTTTAAAACTGAACATCGCGAGCCATAATGAAAACAGATAGGGTCCATTGTGGCAGTTATTTTTAGTTCGGTCTTTCAGAGGAATCACAGGGGACCTTCACAGGGAATACTGCCTGTAGTTCCTCAAAGTTTGCTTCCATTTGATTCTCCAACGTATTTTTCATGTAAAAGCATTGGCAAGGTAGGTTTAAAGCGCTCAAGGACCTGTTTAACCAATTAAACAAAATAGTGGAGATTAGAGTGTTAGTAGTGATCTTAACTGTGTTTCTGCTTAAGGAAAGGTCCATGGGCTTGGTAGGTTTTCTGGTTGCCCTCAGTGTTGTTCACATTTTGTGTGGTCATGGCAGAGCATGGAGGTAGTCAGCAGTCTCAAAAGAGGTGAAAAAGAAGTACTGAGGTTTTGTTCATGATACTGAATGTTCTGCTTACTGTAATTAGACTGACCTTAAAAATGCCTATTTAACCTTTGGAATTGTCATGTTCATTAGGGCACTCTTGGAAGAAGAAGGAAGACATGCTCAAACTTGGTCTACTCAGCATTCAAGAGAAAGAATAATAGGTATTTGCTTGTCATTCAGCATGAAATAATGATTTTAACAACACTGAAATTTTAATAAATCTGTGAATTACCATTATTTTAATTATTCCACAATTCAAACATTAAATAATTATGAATTTATTAAGGGTTTAACGATACACATATTCGTACTGAACCGTTCGGTACGAGGCTTTCGGTTCGGTACACATTACAAACGGAACAATTCGTTGGACTAATCCTATTACATCTGCAAAAATAAAAGAGCTTAAAGTCTGTGAAATATAATGTTCTCAGTGCCACTGTGCTCAACAAGGCAGCCCAAACGTATGTAACAGGCAATGTGATGTCTGCCCTCCCACCCCCAAAGAAAAGCACGCTACTCCAAAAGGGTTGTGACGGTGAGGTAGTTCGTTAGAGTTTTCCCTGTTTTCCTCACTTTTATTCGCTTTTAAATAGCCTGTAAATGCCTGTGCGCATTTTATTTTTACTTTCGAATTAGCGGCAATTTGGCATCAATTGATTGAATTGACAACAACAAAACAGTACAACAAACTCACTTATATTAAACATAGAATGTTTAATTTATTTACAAAACACCTTCCAAAGTCTAAAATATGTTTAAAGCAGGCACTTTTGTATTTCATTTCGAAACAATCTTTCTCCAACTTCTTGTCTTTCTCACCTTACTCGTCAGCTCGACTCAATCCGACTCCTGCCACTGATCTGAGATGCGACTGTTGTTCGGCACACTGCTTTGTTCAAAGTAAAAGAAAAGATTATACTTTATGATGTTAATTTTAATAAATAAAAAAATTTAAAAATCAAGGAAATTTCTCCGGCACTTCTTTCTTTTTGCTGTATCGAAAATGTACCAAACCGTGGCACCGCTGTGTCGTATTGAACTGAACCGTGAGTTTTGTGAACCGTTACACCCCTAGAATTTATCATACATCAGTGTTTCCCCTGACATTATATTAGGGGGGCGGCCCGCCCCCGCCCCCCCTTGAAGGTCAAGTTCATTAATAAGAACATTATATTGTGTATTTGGTGTAATGCAATGTGTTTATGCGGTTTAAGGTTCAAAAGACACATTATTTTCCACATACTGTACATTATTGTTTCTCCTCTATGCCCCACCTTTCTGATTGGCCAGCTATCTACTGTGTTGTGATTGGCCGAATACCTCAAGCTTGTGACTGAAATGTTACGCCCCTTACCATACTGTGATGCCGTGTCCCGGCGCGATGAGTCAAAACCAATAAAACACATTACAAACGAGGCATTTGTTGCATCCAGTGGGGACATAATTACTGATTATAATGACTTATGCTGTCTTTTTACGCTTTGCGTTGCGTATCGCGCCACATAAACATAAAACCATGTCTGCATTTATGATCAAAGAAACGACAAACAACAAGCGCTACTCTACACTGCTCAAAACTCACGTTTGAATCATCAGTGGCAAATTCTTTAAATATGAAAACGTACTTACAGGCTGTGAGTCAGAACAGCCGGCATTGTAGGCTACTTTCCCAGGTTCAGGAAACAGTCCTCCATAAAATGCGCTGTACACATCTGAATATTTGGGTTGAACTGTTCTGGAACAGTGTTGTAAATACAACTTAACCACTGATTTCTAGTTGTGTCCTCTTTTGGAAGGCCAAACAAAGTAGTTTCGCTTTCACAATGAAACACAGCGTCTCTACAACATAGCGGCGGCGGCAGCAGCAACAATACTACAGCGAGAATCAAAGTTACACCGCCTTTGCGTGAACATTTGGGTGGTGTTATGCGAATCTTCCCACACAGTGACGTAGACATGTGGGGGCGTGTTTAAACGAGGCGTTTTAGGAGGGTGTGGTCGAGTCATAACTTTTATAAAGAATATCTCTTTGGGTTTGAGACTTTAGTCTTTGCAAATTTAGGGATATTATCTATTCACAAACAGCTTGTAACACTCCAAAGAGAAAGGAAAACTTGACATCGCATCATATGATCCCTTTAAATGGTCGCGTTTTCTGATTGTACTGTATATATACTGTACTCCGCCCCGATGAGCACACTCCCACTAGTATTTGTAAATATTAAGTCGCAAAAAACGACTATTTAAATATGAATTCTGCATGTCTCTGTGTTGATGAATGGCGCAGACGCACGGTTTTGTTTAATACTCGTACTGAACCGCACGTGACGCTTCCGGTGATATTAACGTCTGCCCGTCTCACTATTGAGGACATAAATACATGAAAAACATCTCCAGAACTGCTCTGAGAGTCACTTCATGAGCATTTGACCGTTTCATTTCAGTAAAACTATCCTCATATCATATACACACAGAAATGTAAAGGTATTCCTGGCAACCCGGCAAAATAAAAGTTCAGTTTAACTTGAAGACATTGCAGCAGAAATATATTAGCCTACTATTGTTCAGTAGAATGTACTTAATAGGCTACTACTACTACTAAAATTATTAAAACCTTATTTTTAAGGAATAATCATACAATATTTCTTCAATGCGTTAATTGTAATATTAAATCCCCTTTATTTTCCAAAAAATACAATTAGTTTAATTTTCAGTAATTAAAAGATAAATTAATGTTTTATGCCTTAAAATTGTAAATACACAACACAGAATTTCTGAGGGGGAAAAAATCACAAGGCTTTTGTAAGAATAAATGAAACTTGTTTTTATGCTTTCAAATAATTAGACATGTTAAAACACAGAATTTGGTAAAAAATAAAACATAAGGTTGGAAAAAATAAAACATTTTTGGGCCCTAAACATGTAATTTTTGTTAAACTTTTAATAAATTGATGTTAAACTGTTTTAAGTTTCATGATTTTAATTAATTAGACATGCTTTTTGATTAATACAATTTAATTTAACCATTAAAAAGGAGTCCAGAAAAATTAAAACGGGAAAAAAAAACAGAATCCCCCCTACCCCCAAAGCCGTAAACCTAGAGGAAACACTGTTAGAAAGTAAAATGTTTAGCATCCTAATTTTAATCTATCTACTGTCTGTTGTTTGTATCTGTAGATATAAAAATGCCGGCCCATCCTTACACTCCAAGAGTGTCCGTCAATTCGGCAAGTCGACCAGATATAAGAAAAAAAGCCTTTACAGATGTTAAATATATGGAACCAACTTCCAGCCTGAGAACCTCATCTACATCAAGTCAGTTTCATTCTTACGAACCCTCCAGGATCGTGCCTATCAGTGTATCAAATCGTGCCCAGCAAAGTCCGGCTTCAAGAAGGGACATGATTTCCTTCACCAAAGCAGTGCAGGCAGCTGCTTCCAGTACCCCAAAACCTGGAGTCTCTTCTGTTGAGATAAAAAGAGAGGAGACAGATCAGAGAATTATGAGAAAAGAGATTTCACAGCCCTCTTCAAAGGGCTCACTTGATCATACCCACTCTAGAATCAAAAGTGCACAGAGCTCTACTGCCTCAAAAATAGAGAAACCAAAGCCAGTGAAAGTGATATCACCTCCTGCGAGTTTGAGCAAGACCACCACTGAAGAAAAAAGCCAGAAAGATGTTGAACCAAAAGCAAAGGGAATGGATGCCAAACAAGATAAAGAAAAATCCAAGGTAACAATGGAAGAAGAAATAAGGGATGTGAAAGAATCAATAGCTAAAGATGAGAAAGAGTCTGAAAATGTAGGGCATAAGGTGTTTGTAGGTGAGGAAAAAGTTTTAGATGCAGTTTCTATGAAGGAAATCATTCAGCAGGTCATGAATCCAGCTGGTTTAGATACTAAGGTCAGCTCATCCCCTGACTCAAAAGTCACATATCATGTGGAGAAAACGGAGCAAGAGGATGGAACCACCAAGACTCAGATTTTCTTACAATCTAAAGTCGAGGAGGAAGTGGACCTGTCTGAAGATTCTGCCTTGGAGGAACTTCTCAGCATGGGAGTCAAGAAAGTCACCCTGGAGAACATCAAAGGAACACCAACAGGAACCATGATCGAGAACCTGCTGAGTCTTGGCCTGCAAGGTGAGAATTTGGAAAATAGGTTAGTGAATGTGGAAATAATCGAGGAACCGGTGGAGTCTGATGAGGAAGGTGAAATTGAAATAGAGGAGACTGTGGAGATTAAGTCTAAACAACCAAATATTGATCCCTCATCAATGTTCTTCCAAATTGAGGAGCTAGAGAGTAACCCTAAGACCATGAAACCCAATGAGAGTGGTTCTGCTGAAGCCTCACAATATGGAAACAGTGGCTCTGTACAGGTTCGTGAAGTTACCAGAGATGAAAGCTTACCCTACTTCTCGCATGGCCAAGACTCACAAGAGTACTTCGTCTCCACTCCTGAAGACAATATGTCAGAGTCTGAGGAGGGTGGGAGGTTTATGTCTTATAGCCATTATGGAGTCGTCGATGATCTGTCTGATGAAAGATATTACCAGGAAGACGACCCCAAACATCCCACTGCTGAAGGTCACAGTTACAGAGAATCACCTGAATACGAATACTCGTTTTTCAGCGACAATATCCAAGACTGCATAATTGAAGAGGAGGTGCATGTCTCTCCCACACTGCAACAGTCCATAGTGGGAATCCTGAGGAAGGACTCACTAGACCCTGAACAGCAGCTTAGAGGAGCATTAGAGCAAATCCAAGACACTGTATCTGGAGCCCTCAAGGAAGAGCTTGCCTTTTTTACGAAAGGTAGGGAGACTCCAGAAAATGTCTCTGTGGACATTAAAAAGGTAGAACAAGTTACAGACAATGGAACCATGACCATTGTGGCAGAGCTTAATGTTTCCCAGACATTGGAGGAGTCTGGGTTGCTGGAAGGAGAAGGAGATGATCTATCTGAAGAGCAGATAATGGCAGCACTAGGCTCATCCCACCCAAAGCTTCAGCAGGCTATCGGCGGAGGAGCTGGTGTAGGATACACCATGAAAATTTCCCAAGAGGAGTTTCAAATGGAGGGAATGCCTTGGATGACCGGCGACGAAGAGATCCAACAATGGAGCTCAACCGATGAGGCTGGCAAGACAGAAAAACACATCAAGCTGGGCCCTAGTGAGAAATCCTTCACTTTTCAGATGGACGTGAACAACAGCTCTTCTGCATCAGCAAGCGGAGGAGCTGTCGAAGTACAAAGAGGTGGCGGTGCTACGGAGTTCCCACAAACCCAGATGATTGACCCCCACTTGAAGGTCTGTCATGAGAAAAGAATCGCAACTGTTTATCTCGAAAGCCCTAAGGAGTGATATCATAATGAAATAACATTGAAATTACACAAAATATCATGTCAATCACATAATTAGTTATGAATTGGACAAATGAAATAAGGCATTGTAAACCATAATCCAAAATCCATGGTCCATCATGACTATGCACTACTGTTCAAAAGTTTGGGGTCAGGAACATTAAAATTATTCTGAAATGATGCATCAAATTGATCCAAAGTGACAGTAAAGACATTTATAATGGTTTCTGTTTTAAATAAATAGTTCTGAAGGATGATGTGACACTGAAGACCCGAGTAATAGCTGCTGAAAATTTAGCTTAGATTTTTTTATTCACAGGAATAAATTACATTTTAAAATATATTCAAAATATACTTAAACAGTAATTTGAAACTGAAAAAAATATTTCATATTATTGTTTTACTGTAATTTTAAACCAAATAAATACAGCTATGGTGAGCATAAATGACTTCTTTCAAAACCCCCAAACGTTTAAATAGCAGTGTATCTGACATTCAGTAGCTAAAGTGTTAACAAAGCTAAAGCTAACTATTTTAATACTGTTTTTGTTTGATCTTGAAGTATATTTTTGTATGAACTATCTGGACATTTTGTTTTACTTCATTTTCATATAGTGCAGCTTTATCTAAGCACAGAAAAAGTAAAATACATTGTTTTCTTTTCAACTCAAGTAGCAATCCTCTTAAAAATATACATTGTTGACACAATTTGTTCTACTTTCCACAGCGCTGCAAAAGCAAGATTGGCATGTTATAAAGGCCTTTTTATGATACATCATATTAAAGAATGAATAGATGGAGACATTTACAATAGTAAGCAGAAATTGTAGAGTAGTGCTCTCTTTAATTGACCATTTATTTGTGAGTTATTCAAAACTTTATTCATAGTATCACAGATATTTTCAGTAACACATTTGAATATTTTTGGTCACGCCCATAAAATCAGTTTATATAGTGGTCTACATTTGGCCGCAGTCACTGTATTGCTCTACTGAAGGCGAAATCACTAGACTGTCCTTCCTGTCTCCCAGAGATCTCTTAATCCTTAAATGACATTAGAGCAGCGAGGACTAATCTAGCTATCCTGCTCTTCCAGGACAACACATTTTTCATTGCTCTAGTACTGTACAGAGACAGTAGAAGAGGGAGGAGTGTGATCGTAGAAATCTCACATTTAAAATAAGTGCTAGGCAGCTTACACAGAAGAGTGTAAGTGCTTCCAGAATAGCTATTCGGTGCCATTAAGTCTGTGACACAACCTATTACGCAGAATGAGGATTCAGCTTCACTAAAGGGGTGTGTCTAATGAGAGTCTATTTTTAGGATTCATACTCTGCCATTGACACCTCCAGGTAAAATAGTGTAACAGCTTTAGTCTGAAGATTTAAAGTGTAAGTATGTGCTTTTTCCTCTATTTTCTATTATCTTGAACAGATATTCATGTTAACGTCATCAGATGCTGCAATGGTGACTGTCCTGTGCCTATTAACAGTAATGGGGATCAAAAAAGAGTGTAATCTAGAATGAGGAAGCATGTAACATCATTTCAATTTCATTTAGCGTTTCATATCTGTATTATCCAATATAATTATACTCAATATAATGTTAACACAGTGATCCCAGGAGTTTTAAACAAGTTTGGATACATTTGATTTAACTTTCTTAACCTTATAACACCTAAAAATTAATAACCAGTGGTGCTTAATCTCATTTATTTTGTGTGAGTTTTTTTACTCATTTTCATTGAAATGTTTTATTTGTCTTATGCTGGATATCATTTCGCAAAGTCACTTAAATTATATCCAGCATAAGACAAATAAAACACATTTCTGGTTTGTCCTTGTTGAAGGGCTATTTCAGCCTTAATGATTAGGCTGTGTTACATAAAAAAAGGCTAGGAAACACTGTGTTAACACATACATGATAAGTGATTAAGGATTAGTTCAAATTTGATATCATTATTAACCATTTATCTTAATCCCTTGAGATGGTGTTTCAGCACCTGCTGTTTTTTGTCTGAATCTATGCATAGGGTTCTATGACTCAACCAACACTGTGTGAAACCTAATTTTGTGCATCTACAGATTTACAATATGCTACTGCCATAGCAAACATTGGTGTGGGATTGCAGATTACAGATGTATTTTTGCTAAATGAAAATTAACAAAATGGATGTGGTGTGGTGTTGTACTCCTAAGAAAAAGACTAGTCTGCTCACTGTCTGAACATTGGTTTACATGCAAACACAATAAACAAGCACTTGCAACTTCATGTTGAGAGTTCTGTTCAATTCTCAGAAATAATATAAGACACAAACTCTTTGCTAGAGAGGCCTGCAGCTCTCCAGTCAGGAAGTATTTGCAGAAACCGCTGTGACTGTGTATTAGATTACCGCTGGACAGTTCTCCTTTTTTGAAGTGCAGAGGTAGTCACCTTGCCAACCACTCTGAGACTCAGCAGCAGAGATTAAACATTAAAATTAAAATTAAAATTGCCTTGTTTTTTTCCAATACACAGATTTCTCTTGGAGAAATAGGATGAGGTCAAACATCCCTGATGGTCCATGACACCTTCAATAGATCTGCTGGTCACTGCTGTTATGAGTTAGACATGCTAGATGTCACCTCAGATGCAGATGATACCACTGCACAGAATGGAGGCCTTGTTTCAAGACGGCTTTCCTTTTGTCTCTCACCGACCTCTGGTGACCTAAAAAAAAAAAAAAGACCATAAAAGCTTTAAATGCCTCATCTATAAATAATATTCACTCTCACTAACTTGGTACATTCAAGTGAAATGTCAGTGTACTGCACTGAAAGCACATTTTTAGAGTGCACTGTGATTTCCTGCTATAGTGTGACTGGAACTCACTGAGACAGCATGTCCACGGTTCTTTGTGTGGATTTGGTTTTCTTGTGCTGAGGACCGTATAGCATATTCTGAATATCCAGACACTGAAACAGACACAGATACGGGTGGTCGGCAAAACATTTACATGTTAAACTCCACCTAAAATTATTTGAAATAATAATAATGAATATATACATTTATATACACACACACACACACACACACACACATATATATATATATATATACACGCTCGGGATTGTTGGCGGAACAGTCGAGCGCTGTGTGAGAAGTTTTCACGTCTAACGCACACCGCGCGAATACTACATTGAGCTCTCTTCCGCTTTTTTGTGCATGGATGAATAAATACAGACATTACTTCAAAATGCGCGTTTAGGCGAATATCCTAGTAAACACAGTCGGTTAGGCATATGTCTTAACGTAAACAGTTGAGAAAGAAAAGGCATGTGTATCAGTATATTAAATCCGTGCTTTCCTTCTTAAAGTGAAAGCAAACTAATAATAAATCTAATGCTGTCAAAGAAAAATACAAGTGCTCACTGCTTCTGACTAAATAACCTTTGTAACATCAAAAATTATTAATCTACATTTAATTTATACATGGAAGACTATGCACTTATTTTACATTTGATTATTACATTCCTGTAGCGTACCTGAAAATTGATTTTAGACTGAGCTGAAAAACCTGAAAAGCACTGTTTATTGAACTTGTGTCTTTGTATTTGTTTTCTGCTGTTGCTTATAATTTGGTTATCTGTAGAAAAGATTTTTTAGCACTGAGCCAATAGTAGCAGCCAGAATAGTTTTTCCAATTGTTTATTTTCTTTATTATAAAAAAAAGAAAAAGTGTAGGCCTATTTTTTTGTTGTGATTGTCCCAATTGAGGTACAGGATGTGAAAATTTCAGATAAATGTTCATGTTATATATTTTGGTTGCATTTGTGAGTTAATAAAAATGTAGATGGTTGTTTAAAATAGGTATATAATATCATAATATCGATATATCGATTGATATACTCCTGAATCGAATCGTAATCGTATTGTAGAATTTTTTGAGGTATCGGCAAATATCATATCGCTGGTTATGAGAATCGATATCATATCGTGACGAACCATCCGATTTACACCCCTAATATATATATATATATATATATATATATATATATATGTGTGAATGTGTATCCAAAAAAAGACAAGTATAAACTATTAAGCAATAAACTATTAAGCCTTATAAACGTTTGTTTTTATTTTGTGTTCATTGTATTTTAATACATACGCATTTCTATACATTGTCGCGGGGGGTGAATGAGAACAGACTCGGTACTGATCGAACTGTAGCGTACCTGAAAATTGATTTTAGACTGAGCTGAAAAACCTGAAAAGCACTGTTTATTGAACTTGTGTCTTTGTATTTGTTTTCTGCTGTTGCTTATAATTTGGTTATCTGTAGAAAAGATTTTTTAGCACTGAGCCAATAGTAGCAGCCAGAATAGTTTTTCCAATTGTTTATTTTCTTTATTATAAAAAAAAGAAAAAGTGTAGGCCTATTTTTTTGTTGTGATTGTCCCAATTGAGGTACAGGATGTGAAAATTTCAGATAAATGTTCATGTTATATATTTTGGTTGCATTTGTGAGTTAATAAAAATGTAGATGGTTGTTTAAAATAGGTATATAATATCATAATATCGATATATCGATTGATATACTCCTGAATCGAATCGTAATCGTATTGTAGAATTTTTTGAGGTATCGGCAAATATCATATCGCTGGTTATGAGAATCGATATCATATCGTGACGAACCATCCGATTTACACCCCTAATATATATATATATATATATATATATATATGCATATTGTAGCAACCACATAGAGACACATTAAAAACTAAATCAACATATATATATATATATATAAATATATATATATATATATATATATATATATATATACACACGAATACACACACACACACACACATATATATATATAAGCTGGATGTAATATTTATGTAATATTTTTGTGTGAAACCATTTAAAATGACCTGAATTAATTTTTTATTCCAAATGTTTTACAGGTAGTAAATATATATTTCTGATATAAATATAAATAATAAAAATTTGATTATGTAAATTATATTATAATTATTACAATTTACATTTGTGCAGCTTTTAAGACTTTATATGAGGCTTCATATGAGGAATAGTTTTATGTTGTTAATCTGTCAACTGCAGGACCATTTTAAAATAAAATAGTGAAGGCAAAAACAAAGAAAGTTGACGACTAGTGACCAGTTACAGGACTTACACCAGGGGCCTCATTTATAAAATACTGCGTAGAAAGAATCCTAAATTAGATTTTACTATCATTTCTCAGAAAACGTGCGTACGCCTCTCTTTTAGATGTGAAATCTATAAATTGCAATGATCAGTTTCAGATCTCCGCCCTGTAAACAATGTCTAATTAATGTCCTTGACTTATAAAAGAGCACCTGACAATGTCCAAATCTTTTACAAGCGGCAAGAATGGCAAGAATCTGCAGCACTCGGGCAAACAAAAGTGCGTGCGTCTGCTCAGACCCTGACGTGGCGCTAAACTCTTTTCCACGTCAAAGACCGTTTTTATAAATATGAATTTTGCCGTGGATTTTTGCGTACGCACACTCAATGATCAAATCTGTGCTTACACACGTTTTATAAATGAGGCCCCAGAGGCGGACAGTAGTGAAGTATTTTTACTTTACTCAAGTACATTTAAAAAGTATTTGTAGTTGATCAGTTTTTCTTTGGAAAACCTTACTTCACTACATTACAAAGCATAATGTCATACTTTTTACTGCATTTCATTTCATAAATAAAAGTTGTTGTTTGTTTTACCTTTAATACTTAAGAACATTAAAAATGTAGTACTTTCTTGTACTCAAGTAAATCTTTGAATTACTTTTACTTGAGTAAAAGTAAGAAAGTAATAGATTTCTAATGTAATTAAGTATTAAATTATATTTAATATGAAACGTAGTGCAGTAAAAAGTACAATATTATGCTTTGGAATGTTGTGAAGTAAATCTTTCTAAAGAAAAACACTCTGATAAAGTACAGACACCTGAAAAGTACTTTTACCACAGAGTAAAAATACTTAACTACTATCCGCCTCTGACTTACACCTTTGTATAATTTTTTATCTAAACGACACGTTGATGACACATGATCCATGAACAACCTAAATGGTCAAATACAGAAAATGCAATCAAACATTGGACTGTAACAGACATTAAAGAATTAATGTTCAAAGGATTGAAAAGCTTGGTGAACAATAAAGAGCTGGCTAAGCTTCAATACAGTCAAAAACTTTGCCTTAAAAATGTATTTTGTAACTCTTAAAATGAAAATCTAAGCAAGTAAGCTTTACTGCTGTGTGTGGGGCTCAAGAGGTAGTGGACGGCCTGACTCTGATTTCACAAACATAGTAGAGAGAAGTGACTTTGGCAAACAGATATTACAGCATACCTGGCCAAGCCACTTCATTTCCTCAAATAAACCCTCTCTCATTCACTCAACGACATCTTCAAAACAACAACAGCAACGGTTTGGAAGAAAAACACTCGAAATGACGACATGACATTTTTGTCTTTTCAAAAAAGACAAAGGAAAGTACTGTTCAAAGTTTCCTTGATTGAAAAGGCTCAGTCCATGTTTTCATCACTTTCCGTAGGCAAAAGTGATGTAATGGGGCCCACTTCGATGGGAAAACAGTCACAGCGTTTCTCAAAAGTGTGTGCGTCTATTACAAGGAACTGAACTTTATAATAGCTGGACTGCGTCTAAAGCCCACGCAAAACTCCCTTTAGTACAAAAAAACAAACATAACATACAATACACATATAAAATCTAACTTTATTATTGCTTATTTATATCCCTGTTTTAACCACAAACCCCTGGCTTTAGGCCAAAGTCTAAACTGGGAGTGTGTTGCTCTGCTGCAGCTGCTGTCATGATTACAGGAGAAAGAACATGATATGAGCTGCTCGTATCTGTCAGAGGTAACGGGGAAAGGTTAGCAGCCTGAGGAAGTGCAGAACATGGGACCCCTGATTCCCGAAATGGAGCCCTTCGATACGACAACAAAGAAACATAGCAACAGTGCTCATTTACAGACAAGTGGGGACAGGTTTCCAAAGAGTCAACAGTCATGATATTATCTCAGAGGGGGTTTCAGTGTGACCATATCAAAATAGAATACAAGCCATTCACATATTTAGGACATACAAAAGATGTTTGGAATGTAAATAAAAGAGATAATGTTCCCTAATAACCCTAAGCTTCTATTAAGATGTGGAGTGCAGCAAGATCTTCTTACTGCATCAGTTGCTACGAGCAATGACACAAAAGAGAATAAATAACGTTGCAAATCAGAGTGTGGTGTGACTCCTAAAGGAGGAGATTGAGGGACAAAAAAGGGCTGTCCGGTCCAAAAATAGTCAAGCTTTGAATAAAGAACAAGTTACCAAAACAAATATACTGTCCAAAGCAACATGTTTATTCTAGGTGTACATGTTATATAAGTTAGAAGACATCAATTTAGAATATTACTTTACTTCATGAAGGTCTAGTGGAAGGTCTCATGAAGGTCCTTTTAACGGGATTCAGTGCCCTTTTAACAGCATTCGGCAATGTACCAACGAAAATGAAAATGTCTGGCTGAATCCAGAAGGACCAAGAACACATCCCTTGGAACGTTTTATATCAGAAAAAGCATCCCCTCTGAGGAGAAATATTATTCATTCTACACTCCAAGATTAGAGCATAGTTCTGTGGACATAAGGTCCTCAGAGACTTCGGTCGAAATAGCTGTTCAGATCTCTTTTTGTGCAAGCAGTTGCTCAGGCTCTAGCGATTGCGCATGGAAGGATCCTGATGAAAATATATATAATATTTAATTAACTGTATTTGATCAACTCTATTTTATACCATAAGAATTCCATGTAGATGTAGACTTAAATTCAGCAAACTGGTGGTGTATTTAAAGTTGCGATGTAATGGAAGTAGCAACAAATCTTGTTTTTTTGTATTGTGACGTACAGATTAAAGAAGGAAAAAGGAACTTGGTTCTATCCATCGATTGTTGATTGGATAGAGATTTGAATTTGAGCTTGCAGTTGATTATAAAAAAAAGGGATGGCACTTAAGCAGACTAAATGAAGTCCTGCATGCATCACCAAAGAGAAGTCTCTCATTTTCACGGGAAGGTTAAGTTATAGCATCTTGATTAAAAAAATTACTAGGTCAAAAAACATGAATGAATCATTCACAGTAAGCAGAGGTGTAAAGATTACCTAAAAACCATACTTGAGTAAAAGTACAGATACCTTACAGTGAAAATTACTCCACTACACGTTACAAGTCACCAATTCCAAAACAATTGGAGTAAAGAGTACAGATACTCATTCAAAAATGTAGTGAAGTAAAGAGTAAAAGTTGCTAATATCTTTGATACTCAGTACAACTACAAAGTACCCGAAAAGTACTCAAGTACAGTAACCAATTACATTTACTCCAATACTTTACACCTCTGGCAATAACATGCATTTAAAAATAGAGAGGAATTTTCTTTAATATACCAGCAATGTTTAAGCATAAATATATATCCATTAACAGCTAACAGCCAACTCCTACAGCATAGTGATCATGCATTATATTTGATTCACCTTCTTTAGGGTCCTGTGGGCGTGTCTCATCTGACCCTGTGTCATCTCCACTCCACCAATCAGCTGCAGCGCTTCTGCCACCTCTGCACTCAGCTCACCAAATGTGTTCTTCTTATAGGCTAGAGACTCTCTTTGGATCTCAGCACATCTCTGAAACACAAAACAGAGTATAACCCCAACTATATATCATTATAATCATCATAGATATGAAATGTATCCTCCAAGTTGTTCAATAGGGTTTTTTAAACGATCAATCCTTAAACTTTTACATATGGTCACTTATTTATCTGATTAATACAGTAAAATCAGTAATATTACAATTTAAAATAGCTTTTCTATTTGAATATATTGTAGAATTAAATTTATTCCAGCGATAGCAAAGCTGAATTTTCAGCAGCCATTACTCCAGTCTTCAGTGTTACTATCATGATCCGTCAAAAGTCCTTTTGATATGTTGATTGATGCTCAAGTAACTATTCTTATTATAATCAATGTTGAAAACAGTTGTGCTGTTTACTTTTGTAGAAACGTGATACTTTTTTTATCAATTTAATGCATCCTTGCTGAAAAAAAAGTATTTTCTTAAAAGATCTTAATGAGCCCAAGCCTTTAACTGTATATATAGTTCAAATATTAAGATTCGCATCTATTCTATAATATACACCATATCCAGATCTCAATTTGAAGCTGACCTCCTGTTGTCCTGTGAGTAGCAGGAAATGACTGAAGTCATCTTGAGCAGATAGGGTGAGTGTGTCCTGTGGGCCTAGTGCACTTCTATATGCACTTATACTCTCCTCAAAAAAGCGTGCTGCTGAATCTATTGAAAAGAGATCAACATAATCACATTTCTTTAGTTCCCTCTAATGCCTTTTTACACAATATGAGTCCACTACCCTGTGAAGAGCTACTCCAACACATCATCATATTTTTCATTTGATTAGCTGAGAGTCACCTTCAAGACTTGACTGCTACTTGTTATGCAGGGCCGCTAACACAAAGCTCTCCTTATGTATAGCCTGCTAAACACAATTCACTCCAATGACAAACTCTAAATGTTGGATCAGATGCAAGGCATCTAAATGACAGAATGCCTTGTGCTCATAATACATATGTGTTAATTTTTTATTATTCTAATATTGACTTCATAGCACATCTCATTATTTCTGTGTGATGCTCGGGGCCCCGTACAGACAGACTATTGTGAATGCAGTCGCTCACCGTTGTGATGAGGCTCTGAAGTGGAAGAGTAGGCCAGAGCCAAGCTGTGAGCGATCTGGGCCCCCTCCAGACCCCCAGGACCCTGACTAAGAGCTATGGAATGAGCCTGCAGAAGAGGGAGTGAGAGATACAGAGACTTGAATATATATATATATATATATATATATATATCACCCACCCTGAAACATGGGAACTATCAATAGTTCTTGACTTTAAATAACTCTGCAGTCCAGGTTTGAAAAACCATTAGACTGAGGATGTCAAAAACACAACCACTGGGCAACTATGGCTTGTGGAGGAATACAGTCTCACCTACAGTATGTGATGATTGATAGAAATCCTTTTTTTTTTAGGTTTAACTTCACATTGGTGCTTGGTTTCAGATACCTTACTAGAGTCATCCAGTCAAGAGCAGTGACTGATTCTTTTTTGTCAACATTTGATTAATATTTCCTAATTACTAATTTCATGCACTACTGTTCCAAAGTTCAAGGTCCTTAAGAGTGTTTAATGTTTTTGAAAGAAACCCAGACCAAGGCTGCATCTATATAAATGAAAATACAGTAAAAACAGCAATGTTGTGAAATATTATTATTACAATTTAAAATAACTGTTTACCGTTTTAATATATTTTTTGTTTATTCCTGTGGCAAACCTACATTTTCAGCAGCCGCATTACTCCAGTCTTCAGTGTCACCAGATCATCACAAATTAATTTGGTGATCAAGAATTTTTTTTTCTTCTTCTTATTATTATTATTATCAATGTTGATAAGTTATTACTGCTTAATATTTTTTGCAGAAACCATGATACATTTTTTCCCTGGCTTTTTGTATGAATAGCATTTATTCATATATTATTACTTGATATTTGATTTATTTGAAATAGGAATATTCTGTAACATTGTATATAGCAACTCAGTCACAAAGCGGAACAGAGCAGGGTAAAGGTGTAGGTGCATAAAAGTCCCAGTGCCATATCAGTGCATGACCTCACAAATGTTTTACTGGATGAATGAGCAACAATTCACACAGAAACACTCTAAAATCTTGTGAAAAGCCTTTCCAGAAGAGTAGAAGCTGTTAAAGCCACAAAAAGAGAAACCAACTCCATATAAATGTCTGCATAGTAATGATCAGGTATCCCAATACTTTTGTCCATGTAGTGTGTGTGCCATCTAAAGGCCTCTGATGGATGAAATTAATCAACTACATATGCTTCCTCCTTGTTTACCCCAATATTGATGATTAAAGCATGATTAAGGTGATGTTAAAAATGGGTTTGACACTTCTACATTAGGTTATTCATCTAGTTCATCTGTTTTAATATGATTTCAGTACAGTGTAATTCTCTGAAGGACTGGACAAGAATAATCCCTGTGGTGTTTACCTGTAGGAGATGTTCAATGGCTCTATCCAGATGTCCCTGTGCCTGTTCAATAGCCGCCATGTTTCTGTAAACACAGCAGATCTGACTGAGATGAGCTCCTTCCTGAAGCAGCTCCAAGGCTCTTTCACATTGACTGAGGGCCTTCTCAGGCCTTCCCTGCCGTTGGTACACTCTATAGAACACAGCACGAACACAAAGATGTCATTTATCATGAAATCAATCCACAATGTCACATACAGCACACTGTTGACCTCGCTTATGCATGCCATCATAATAAGAATGGCTCATTTGTAATGCCAGGCATGAGCAAAAATGCCAGAACAATGAAAGGAAGAAGGTCAAGAAAAGCCTGTTCATGCAAACTGGTTAAAAACAGGAAGAACTGCTGATGTGTATGGCATAGGACGGTGGCACCAGCTCTGAACCTTCAAGGAGCTTTCATTTCTTTTATTAAGATGTGGAGTGCAGCAAATCCAAACATGCCCTGCAGCTCTGAACTCAATACACAAGAGCTCATGTCTTTATTAGGTCTGATTCTCCTCTCTCAATATCAGCCTTTAGGCATCTAGTCTCACTCCTGAATAATGCAGAGAATCACTGCTGTCTGCTATCTGCGAAGAAATGAAGTACAGAAGAGTCAATGCTGTTCTACAAAAAAAGTATTCAGTTCAAGTCACTGGTTTTAGACAGTTTTTTAATTTGTAAGATTTTTAATGTTTTTAAACGAAAACACTCACCAAAGCTGCATTCAACTGATCAAAAATGCAGTAAAAACAGCAATAGTATGAAACATTAATACAATTTAAAATAAAAAATAATTTAGCATTTGAATATATTTTAAAACGTAATTTATTCCTGTGATGTCAAAGCTTAAATTTCAGCAGCCATTACTCTGGTCTTTAGCGTTACATTTCTTATTATCACAGTTGAAAAATAATTGTGCTGCTTAAATGTTTGTGGATTATAAAGTCACAATAAAAAGCATTCATTTGAAATCATCTTTTGTCCTTACTGTTACTTTTGATCAATTTAATGCATCTTTGCTGATTAAAAATTAAAACAACTTTACTTAAAATTGTTTTAAATAGTTTAAAATCCTGAAAGTTTCTGTTAAAGTGAGTTCACCCCAAAATTCTGTCATTAATTACACAACCTCATGTAATGTGTATAAATGGTACGCCAAATAAAAACGAAAACTCGTGGTATTGACACGCAAAAATGGACTTTGGCGTGCATATAATATGCAGTTTTCACGTGCATATGATACGAAATTTGTTGCCGTGCATATGATACGCAGTTTTCGCGTACATATGATACGCATCTACCCCACAACCCTAAACCTACCCATCACGTAGCATATACACGCCAAAGTCCATTTTTGCATATCAATACCACGAGTTTTCGTTTTTATTTGGCATACTATTTATACGCACTTTCATGAGATTGGGTTGGTCGTTTCATACCTATAAGACCTTCGTTCATCTTCAGAACCCAAATTAAGATATTTTGATGAAATCCAAGAGCTTTCTGACCCTGTAGACAGCAACGCAGCTGACATGTTCAAGGCCCAGAAAGGTAGTAAGGACATTGTTAAAATAGTCAATGTAACATCAGTGGTTCAACCTTACAGTAATTTTATGAAGCTATAAGCATACTTTTTTTTTGCAAAAAAAAACAAAATAAACAATCCCTAACTCAATTTCCCAATTTAGAGAGAGTAGCCTGCTCATCCAGCATCCTTGTCTCATAAGTATAAAGCTAGTAAAAAAAAAACTTACATCACAAACAAACGTTAAAGCTTGATTAGTGGATTCCCATGGTGCACCTCTAAAATAGTAAGTGGATTTTTAACATAACATTACACATAATTTGTAAGTATTCAGGCATATCTGCATAATTTAATGATGATGGAGCTGTAAACACATCTTATCTTCAATCTATGGTGTATATTTTAGGATTGGAACATCCATTTTATTCAAATGAAATAAAAAAGTTCTTAATCTGAATGTTTTACTGCAATCAGGGAAAAAAGCTCAAGGGAAACATTTGCGAAATGGCAAAGATTTTAAACACCAAGGTTTTCTCATAGACATCTGTGTGTTCGCTGGAGCACCCTGGCAACTTTTCAAGGCTGCATCAGAAATTCCAGACTCTGGGCCTCCTTTTAGGGGCAGCGGGACCCAGCAGCGGGTATGTGCCAACTCTACTGCCTCGCTGCCTGGGTACACAAACCTAAACACATCCTGTATTATGCCACACAGCGCCAGCGTAATACCAGCCATCCTCTGTGGGAGGAGAGATATAATCTGCATGGAGAAATCTGATTTAATGTCCGTTGTGCAGGGGCGTAATGCAATTAGGGAGCTTTACATGAACTGCCAAGTAGTCCCCCAAGCCTTCTGCTTAGTAATTGTTAACAGACCAATACTGACGTAGACTGTGTATGAAAGATTTCAGGCTTGATAGAGAGCAGTGCCAGGCAAAATTAGGGATAAATAGAGACACAGAGCAACAGAAAAGACATCGTCGCCATTAAAAAAAAACTGAAAATAAACACTTAGATTACTTGATACTGGCACAACAGCACTCCAAGTTTAGTCTCCAGCCAAGTTTAGCTCAACTTAATTTATAACATTACCAAAGAAACTACAGAGCAGTGATTTAAAGGGATAGTTCACTAAAAAATGAAAATGTTGATGTCATTTGTTCACCCTCATGTTGTCCCAAACAGTGAATGTTAATATTTTGGACCCCTTTCACCTTTTTGTTATTTGGGCAAAAAAGAGCTGTTTCTGCACAAAACACTGTAAAAAAAAAATCCAACTTGCAAAACAAAAAAAAAGTAGCTTGAGTAAAGATTTTTTTTAGTAAGAGGAGTCAGTTTCTTTTTTTCTTGTGAACTGGACAAAAATATTCTAAACATGTTTTTAACAAAGATTGTTGTGTTGACCTTGCTTAGATACTCAAGTATTTTTTCAAAATGTGTCCAGATGTTTTCCCAACTTTCCATATTGATTCTTCTGAATAAACAATTGTATTATTGTGCAAGTTCCCAGCATGCATTGCAGCTTGAAAAGATTATGTGGCAACTTAAATGATCATTGTTTTACATTTTACTGGCTTGATTTATGCTGCAGCTGCTGTTGTCATTGTTGCTTAGCTGTCATATGGCTCAGAGTTCATATTTTTGGTGAATTAGCATTTGTTGATGATCTCCGTGTTTGAGATTTGTGTGTTGAGGTACATGTGCATTTCATTGCAACTGCTGGGTGTAATATATTTGGATAATATGTTCGCCTGTAGTTTTAAGTGACAAATAATGCCCATATCATGAATGAAGATTTGAAAATCAAGTGTAAAGGTATAAGAATACTTCTTGAATTGCTAAATGCTAAATAATCTTTTAATCTTGACAAATATTTTTTAATTCAATAGACTGCTTGTTACTCATTAGGTCACTTTAGATTTTAGAAGTTGTCAGTTATTAGCCGAGTTATTAACCTTTTTTAAGTTAGGTCAACTTTGTAACAGTGTATCTTCTTTTGTGTTCTGCAGAAGAAAGTAATACACTGAACTATCCCTTTAAAACTGTTTTTTATTTCGTCAAGACCCAGATTTTCTATCAGCCATCAAGTGGATGTTAAGTGGATGGATGATTTAACATAGCAAAAATGAAACACTTGACCTTTTAAGCTTTGTTTGCTCACAGGCTTAGAGTGCGAAAAGACATAAGGAAACGTACACTTCACTTATGAATTCTGTCAAGGCCAAAAATCCCAACCAGCAAAAGTTCAACAAATGCTGATGTAAATATGTGTTGAGAATCATGTCAGTATGATGTCTGACTCTGATGTTCATTCGCTCACAGCCTCCATCCGGATGAAAAAGCTGTAAGCTTGTGTCATTGTTTCAGGGTTTTGTTGAGGTATGTGTTGATAGCGCAGGTTCACTCATTTCAAATATGTCAACAGTAGCTTTACAGTCAAAGGCAGAAGAATTAGAAAGCTTTCATCACAACTCACATACGCACATTCTTCTGGGACTAACAAAACCAGCTGACAAACTGATGAAAACACAATCTGCTAAGCGTAGCAAAAAATTACCGATGCTCAAATTTCCCTACATAATATTATAAATACAAAATAAATTAGCTTTACTGTATAACAATTTATCTTCTCTAGCACAGATTCCCTTACTTACATAACAAAGAGCAGCAATAACAAAACCTGAGATGGCCCAGTGAGATCTACTGTCGCTCTGCACTCTCATACATAAACACAGCTGGCAGACAAACCACAGTCGTTCATTGTCACAGTCAAGCTTGGTGAGACCAGCCATAATAAACACTAGGATCAATACAAGCTATTGAACAAGTTAATCAAGTCCTCCTGTGGGAATTATTACCCCTGTGAAACAAAAGATCTTTGAATAATGTGGTCATGTCCAAACCCAAGCCAAAAAGTTCCCAAATAAAAAAAAGGTCTAAATTATTTCTGCATAATAAACCCTTTGCGTTATGTATGTTTAATAAATTGATGCAACTGATGTTGGGTTTTGCTTTGCGGGTTATGATGTAGGAAAATCACAGAGATGCTTTTTTGCTCTGCTCTGATTGTGACCAAACTGGAAAGAGTAGTGTGACATTCACATTACCTGCCAGCTTTAAGATATGATGAGACAAAAAAAGTTTCTGTTTCTATTTATCAAGACACAGAGAAGTTTGTGAAATTTATCATAAAGCTTCAATTCTATTGTAATGTTGTTAAGATATTTTGTGGATGAGGAGCACCACCTTGTGGTGAAAAATATACCTTAGCTTGCATTCCTAATGAAATGGCAGAGGTTCATATAATCATTCTTTTGCTGGGCAAAAAAAAGAGAACAATATCTAAATGTAGCATAAAAACAAATTCTAATGCATATATGAAACTGTTTCCTTAGTTACAACTGCCCCAGTGTCAACTCGGAGTGATGCCAGGAAAAACATGGATTTAAACTTGAACCTGATATTTGAAACTGCAGAAGTCGAAAGAAAGAAATAGACCACAGCATGTGATTCACCATAGTGCTTTGTGTGAATATTAATGTGGACTCGGTTGCCGCGTCATATTTTAAGCCTGTAAAGAAGTGCATGTGTTTATTATGCAATAAACAGACTGGGGAAATAGATTGAGATGTTTCTCAGGGTAATTATTAATTTCAAAATGAATCTCTTTCCTCCCAGTCCCAGACTTAAAAATTTATTCAGGGTTGTATTTAAAATGAAGAAAAAAAGAGGAGCAGTAATTCATATACAGCGGGTAAAATACAGTGCCTTGCTGTGGGGAAAAAAGTAATTTAAAGCAGTTTAACATAAGGCTGCAACATAACAAAACATAAAAAAATGAAGGGGTTTGAATACTGAGTATTGAACTGTTAGACACCATTTTTCTCAGTAAATGTATTTCTAAAGATGCTGTTGAAATATGTTGAAAAATGTTGAAACATTAAATTTTCACCAGATGTTGATAACAACCCAAGTAATCCATACATCCAATTAAAACAAAACAAATTCAAATTCAAACTAACTTAAAAAAAATAATAAAGTTCAGCAATTAAGTTATGTGTTATTGTCACGCCCCTGGACTGGTTTTGTTGTGTTTTCCCTCCCCATGTGTTCCGTGTCCCAGTTAATTGACTCATTTCATGCACCTGTGTTCCCCTGATTGCCCTGTGTTTAAAAGTCCTAGTCTGTTCAGTTTGTATTTGTCTGGTCTACTTGTTGGATGTTGTGTGTTTCCCATGTTCCTGTCAGACCAGGTGCGTGAGCCGGCTGCAATGCCCATCGCGAGGGAGAAAGCCACGGATGGTGTGAGCGTGGAGAGGAGCTCCGCCCACTACACCGTGGCTGAGGGTGAGCTTATGATGGACCTGGCTAAAGGAGAGGCGGGAAAAGACCTGATTGACTGGGAGGCTGACCTACCCTTTCTACTCCCTCCTTCCTCGGAGCCCTTTGTCACCCCTGTTCCCATGTCCAGCTCAGAGTGGGCTCCTGCCTCCTCCTCCTTCGCTGTCATCTGTCAGCCCCTCTGCTCGCCCTCACCCCACCATCTATACGGTGTGAGCTCTGCGGGTCTGCCATCCTCCATCGTCGCCGTGACTAGAGAATCCCTCACCTCCACCTCCAGCCTCCGAGGCCCGGACTCCGCCTCGGCCCGTAGACCCACCGGCTCCACCTCGGCTCCTAGCTCCCTCACCTCCACCGTCGCCCGTCGATCCACCAGCTCCACCGGGCTCCCTCGTCCCTCCGGCTCCAACCTTGGTCGGGCATTGACCCGCCATCGCCTCTGGACTCTGCTCCCCTGGCTGCACCTCGTTGCTCCGTCCCACCGGCTCCGTTGGGCTCCTTTCTCCCACCAGCTCCACCTTGGTCCTCAGTCACTCCGGCTCTGCCGTGGATCTCCGGATCTCTGCCTCCGCCTTGGTTGCCAGAGCCCTCGGCTCCACTCTGGTCCCCCGGATCCCCGGCATTCCCCTGGCTCATTGGCTCGCCGCCTTGGGCTCCTCCACCACCTGCTCCGCCGCCATTGGTCGGCCCCCTGGAGTCGGTGGCCATTCCTCCTCCATGGCTCCTCCATCCGTCTGCTCCACCGTGGGTCGACAATATGGCTGTGGCCTGGGTCCCGCCTGGCTCCTCCTGTTTCCTCCCTGGCTCCTTCCTCCTTCATCACCGCCCTGGACTCTGTCTGTCTGCTGCTGTCACACCCCTGAACTGGTTTTGTTGTGTTTTCCCTCCCCATGTGTTCCGTGTCCCAGTTAATTGACTCATTTCATGCACCTGTGTTCCCCTGATTGCCCTGTGTTTAAAAGTCCTAGTCTGTTCAGTTTGTGTTTGTCTGGTCTACTTGTGGGATGTCGTGTGTTTCCTGTGTTCCTGTTGTGAATTATCCATTGTGATCCAAGTATTACAGACTGTTGAACGTTTCTCCATCGTTCCTCCAACAGCGAATCGTGACAGTAATAAAATGGAATGACACAGGGAAAAAGTATTGCACTACTGAAATGTATTTAATACTTCATACAAAAGCCTTTGTTGGTAATGACAGCTTCAAGATGCCTCCTGTATGGATAGTCGCATGCATTGCTCAGCTGTAATTATGGCCCATTCTTCCACACAAACAGTCTTCAAATCTTGATGGTTCTGTGGGCCTCTTCTATGAACTCTGATCTTTAGTTCTTATTTTCTATTGGATTCAAGTCAGGTGATTGGCTGGGCCACTCTAGCAGCTTTATTTTCATTCTCTGAAACCAATTGAGAGTTTCCTTGGCTGTGTTTGGGATCATTGTCTAGCTGAAATGTCCATCCTTGTTTTATCTTCATCATCCTGGTGTTGGGACTGAACCATCTAATATTAATTTCCACTGACAAGGCGCAGGATTGCTTTCTAATTACTGATAGATTTCTGCTGGTGTCTTGGCTTTCCATGCCTTTTTGCACTTCCCTTTCTTCATGTGTTCAATTTTTCCCTGTGTCATTCCGTTTTATTACGCATAACTTAATTTCTGAACTTATTTTGTTTTCTTTGTATGTATGGATTACTTGGGTTGTTACCGACATCTGGTGAAAATTTTATGTCAACAGCACCTTTAGAAATATATTTTCTGAGAAAAATGGTGATGTTCCGTAATTTTTTTACCCACTGTAGTAGCCATCGAATGTTAGATAATATCTCTTATTAGTCCAGCTATGTCATTACAGCAATCCATTACAACAATTAAGATTAAAATGTCCCTGTACCTTGCTAAATTTGTAAATATTTCATACTCAATGTCCACTCTGTCCTCCTTCCCCATGGCTTCCTGTGCTACAATGTCTCCCATGACAATCTCTGCCTTCTGAAAGCTTGACTCAGCCTCAGCTAAAGTTCAAATGGTTAAGTGAATTAACATATTTCTGTCATTATTACATCATCTGAAGCAACAAGGTTTGATGAATTATCATTTTTTTCTACTTTAATAGAGGAGTTTAATAACAATATATACAACGTCCCTATAAAGGATTTGAACACTTAAGATGCACTTCTGTATGAATATGATTGCATTAGATGTTTATGTAAACAAGGATATTTTCCAAGCAGTAGAGCGGCACTTCCAAGTGTCTGATGTATGGTGAGGAAGCAGTTGAGGCAGCTCACTCTCTCCTCCTGCTGACTGGAACGCAGTACTTCATGTGCTTGGGATGCATGTTCTTGTGCCTGATTTGCCCAACCTGAGAAACAGTTCATAGATTGTTAGGAGGTAGTAAACATGTTACATTTATATATGTTTACATTATATATGACTGCCTAATAAATGCCTCACTGTACATTACATCTCCTTAAATGCATTAAATAATTAACAATTTTACCTTTGTATTGCAAGTAAGCTTTAGCCAGTCTTGACTGAGCTTGAGCCACTGCAAAATGCTCATTTCCATAAACCAGTCTGCTCAGTGCCAAGCAACGCACAAGCTCTTGGATACAGGGGTCATACTGCAAACGTCGAACAAGCATAAAACATTAAACTAGAGAAATTAAACAAAACATACAATGACTATAATGATCAGTAAGTGTCTAGTTGTATTTTTTAAACCAGACCTGTGGTTCTTGATGTAATTCATAACGGATCATACTGAATGTTGGTGCCATAAGGTTACATAAGAATAAAGTTAGAGTCTGAGTTAGCTATGTATTTCTGTGTTTAAGGTTATTCCATGTGTACCTCTTCGCTATCAGCCAAAGACTGAGCCCGTCTCTCACAAAGCGATAGTTTCTCTGCAGGAGTCATCATGCTGTAATTCTTCACATCTGCTTTCTGTGAGATTATTGTTGAATCTGCTTCCTGCAGGGATTCTCCTGAACTGGCACTGCTGCTCATGTTGAATCTGTAAACGTTCAGAGCTCGGTTGTGTCTCAGAACAGTAAATTGTTTACCTAGACAGCAGTTCTGGGCAGATAGATGCTGTAATTGAATAGGTTTTGAGAAACATCACACTTTCGTTGCATGGCAAGATGATGCACTTGCCACTGAGAATCTGTCAGCCCCTAACATTTTATTTAACATCTCCTTTTGTGCTCCACTGAAAAAAAATAAAGTCAAACACATTTTAAACAACATGGAGGTGAGTAAATGATAAAAGAATCTTCTTTTTGGGTGAACTATGTCTTTAACAGCGACATGAAAATGTATACATACGTTTCATCCAGCCCAGTCACAGAGCAGCTCTGCTGTGATGCGCGACACGATCCGCTGTGCGGTGCCAGGCTCATTTTTAAGGCAAATAAAACTCCACCGTCAATTCATAAGCTGACAGCTGATAGTAAGAATTAGCTCTTTTAACAAGAGTTTTCTTAAGACTGTTATTGTCTTTTGAGGAACACTGGAAGGTTCAAGGTAGAACTGTGTGCAACCGAGTAACGAATATCACGAAAACCCAAACAAACGCTGTGATTGGTTGATTCCCACACATGGGTGAGTCATGTGACTCTCGAGACTGCATAATAAATAAAATGTTGCATTTTAACGTTAATCGACCCATGCTGTTTCTGTTCTGAACTGAACTTTGAATCATAAATACATTTGACCAAATTATTAAATGTATGCACATGTGTGTAATGCATTTATAGGCTAGCATTTAGTCAATAACATAAATTCAGTGCCTTTTTTTTTAAATAAAAAGCTATCAGCTGAGGGGCCGCCATTCTGTGAGGGACAGTGCATTCCGATCATAGTTACACATTTATTTCTATTGTGAAAATATATAAGAGAAAAATATATAAATAATTGCACATGTAAATGTCTATGTCTGCAGCAGATTTTATTTTTCAGATTTAAAATTTAATTACAGGTTAAATCAATTGATTTTGATGGGACTGTGTTCCTCATAATAAACTAAGGCCCCACTATATGAGCCATTGTAGAGTGCATCTATTATAAATGATTATCTATTTATGAATGCTCACATTATGATAATAAGCCCACATTATGTTGTGAGTAGTTGACAGAATGCAGTGCATTATGGACCGGTCTTCATACTGAAACCAATAACACCAAGCAGGGAAGAAATCAAATTACTTTCTGTGAGTAGCATTCAGTAGTCATAAGAGTTTGATACCATTTAATTTTTTATTCTGGACTGAAGCCTTTAAGGACCGTGAACAAGTCATCTAGGTATTATAATGGAAACTAGTCTAACATTAAAGATCAAATCTGTTGCATTTTCTTAAAGGAGACATATTATGCCCCTTTTTTACAATATGTAATAGAAGTCTCTGGTGTCCCCAGAATGTGTCTGTGAAGTTTCAACTCAAAATACTCCACAGATAATTTATTATAACATTTTGAAAATGCCTATTTTGAGTGGAAGCAGAAACAAGCTGTTTTTCGGGCCTGTCTCTTTAAATGCAAATGATCTGCTGCTTCAAGCCCCATTTTCCAGAATAGAGCTGCACCATTACAGCTTGTACCTGCTAAAAAACATCTGTTATGGTTCTGATTATCATGTGTATCGCGCTGAAATCATGCGTTTTAAACCATATGAGTTTAAACTTCATATATACGGTTTTCTGAGCGCACACGGACAGAAAGCGGCTGTCACAGCATGTGAGTACTAAACTAAGTTCTCATTCACACACAAGTTTACGTTAAAAACACACCTTAGTTACAAAAACAGTTGGTTATGTCTGTGAAGGTAAACAGCTGGGAAATAAATCACATGTTTATTTTAGATCTGTGTGGCAGCAGCAATATACAGTAAATAAATCAATAAATCCACTGCTCTCTTGTCTCCTCTGAGGCTGGGACTCTAAACAGTGTTCTGTGCTGGTCTGTGCAGCCAAAGACAGAACAGTTAGCATGTTTTGCTCAAACATTCGCCATGGCATTACAACTGGTACACCGTTGTGCTTGCGAAATCAAAATGAGGTGCCATGGGTGGAAATGTACAGAATACAGATTATACCTGATTATAGCACTGGGCAGATTTTCAGATTTGTTAGAAAATCTGAAAAGTCAGGTTTTCATGATATGTCAACTTTAAGTGGCTTAAAGTGTTATGCAAAGTAATATGCAATTCTTTCCAACTGCAATTTAGTACAGAGAAAGAGGTAAAGTGGGTGCTATGGAGAAAGCAGTAATGTCAAATGAATCTATCAATAGTAATCTATCTATATATCTATCTAGGCTATTTGTCTGATTATGAATTGAAAATTCTTAAATCATCAAGGTAAACATTGCTCCTCTATCATTTTTTAAAGCAACACAGAAGAAATGTGTAAGAGCAGAAAATTTATTTTTCATAATAATAATAAAACTGTATATTTACCTTTTCAAGATTCATATTTAATAGGAGAGCACTAACTTTATTTTGCCTCAATTTGAACGTTCTGCCCTGTCATGATTTTACCCAATAATGTTTTGAAAGTTTCAAGTGGCTGATTTCTAAGCAAATATATGTGTGGCAAACTGAGTGAAGCATTATTCATTTCACCATCATTCCCTTTGTCATTTTGAGTTGTGTACTGTTCTTTTCTCTCCTCACCTGTGTGGGCAGCCTTCATTAAAGTTATGTAATGAAGTGCAGTCTCCTTTACATTAGTGTTCACATGCTCCACACAAACACGTTATACAATTTGTATTATTCATGTGGGGAATAGCCATCAGTTTCCTTTCCATCCCTTTTTAACGTTTTATATGAGCTGTTCGGTGTATTATTTCTCTCTTGGAATTTGTTACATAGTTCTAGAGGAATCCAAACCAGCCATTTTTTGAGCCCACATTTTGAACGACTTCTTCGTGCGTGTTTATGAATCAAAGGCATCTCATAACATTAAGTTCCATTCATCATCTTCATCTTCACCACATCTTCAAATACAAAATCCACTGGCGACAGAGAGGTTAACCCCGGCAGTGCAAAAATAGGATCGCGTTCATGTCACTCCCTCAAAGGCTGTAGGTTCACACCTCTTTTCAGGTTTACATCTGGACTGAGCTGCACAACCTGCTCCCCGTCTAAATCTAGCCCTCAGCGTACATCCACAGTCCTGCTTAACGTATTTACAGCTGAAAGATGAATTATCGGCTCTCTGCGATTCTTTTGCAGCAGTGTAATAGTTAAATCAGTGCCGAATGCGTTATTTGATGTGGCGTGTGGTGCCTAAGCTTGAACAGTCCTCTACAGTGAGAAGATGGCGTCGGACGGAGCGAAAGGGGAGCAGCCACCTCCGCTACAAACACTGGTAACCACTGGCCATGGAAGCGTCGATGCGGTATGAGACATTTAAGGATAAAATGACATATTGTCAGCCGCAATGATCGTTACCGCGAATGTTAAGTATGACTGGGAATGAATGGAATTAATAGAATAGGAATCGTCCAGTGCTGTGAATCGGGGAGTGAAATGAGGAGATTTTTTGGGGGGAATACTTTGTTATAATGTGACATTAAGATTTCCTATTGTATCCTTTATTTCGGGCAGAGCACAATGCTGTATGAAGTAAGAGATTTTAATTTTTTTCGTAAGCTATCTTTTAATGTGCAGCTGCGCACGATTTAATATTACTATGGTAAGCCTATGGTGGTTACCTTACAAATAGCCTATTGAATATTTACCAGTCGCATTTATTATAGGTGATATATGTTGTCACGTTTCGAAGTACTATGATAATTGAAATCGAGGTATTATTATGAACTGCTTTTTTATAGCATGATTAATGTTTAATTGCACAATGCATATTTATAATCTTTAATCATTAATATATATACCCTTACGAAAATTAACCATGGTTTTATTGAAGTAAAAGTGTAGTAATCATGTTTTTTTGGGCTTATTAATTACCATTTGTATAACCACAGTTTTAGAAATGGTTAAACTATGATTAGTGTAGCAAAACCATGGTTAATTTGTGGTTGCCATGGTTTAACTAACCATGTTTTTTTGGCTTTATTTGTGGTAAAGCCATGGTTGAGAGAGATATATATATATATATATATATATATATATTATTGCTATTTATATATATATATTGTATTCTTAAAATTATACATAAATACTTTATTTCTTTATATATATATATATATATATATATATATATATATATATATATATATATATATATATATATATATATATATATATATATATATATATATATATATATACACACACACATACAAATATATATGTCAGACATACAAATAATTATATCAGTATAATACATTTATAAAGTGTATTAAATTAAGTAATAAACTGTAGAATTAATTAAATATTAAAATATATACCTGTAAATACTTAAAATGTGAGTGTATATATTTATTATCTCACGTATTATACTGTATACATTTTAGATATGTAGATATATACTAATAATGTAAATGTATTTTACTAATATATACGACATTTTCTTAGATAAAGATTACATTATGCTTAGAATGCAGCAATAATTGAATTTCACACATTCTGATGACAAGTTTTCAACATATATGGATGAACCTCACTTAACTCCCTTAAAAAAAAATCAATATTGCCCCCAGGAGAGATGCTATAGAGCCCTCCAGTACAGTTTCCTCAAAGGTTCTCCTTGCTCTCAAATGTATTGATCTGCATGCAGTGTCTTACGGTAAAGGGCAGCCTTTAGTTTCAGTAGTAAGATTTGTATCTCATCTTACCATCTATCTCTTTAAATGAATCTGCATGACAGACAAAACATAACTTTTGAGTACTATAGCCAGTCATATTGCAAATACTTACAGATTAATGTTTCAGTGATGCACAGAGTGGCACAAAAATGTAGCAAAAAGAGAGATGTAATGAAGCGGAGGCGGGTTGGGGGGTGGGGAGTGTTCACTGGAGATGTTTCTAAATCGGTCTGAATTTTAGTGACTCAGCTGGCATAGTTCAGAGTACTGTGTCACCCAACCGATCTGAGCTACATTAACTGCTCGAGGCCCCTTTACATTTAGAGTTGGGTTGAACAGGTGCGCAGACTTCAGCGCTGCCCATTGGCCACTGGCGTGAAGTCATAAATCTCTGTCTTGTGCATCTACCCAGACACCTTTCTCAAGGGCTACATACCCTTACAGAAGTTTGCAAGGTCCATGAATAGTTTATATGGAGGGGAGTTTTGTTTATCAGGTATACTCAAGTGGTCTGACCCCATCCGTATGCAATCTGTCTTCAAAAAAGAATTGCCTCAACATTACACTGTATTCAAGAAAGCATTGTGCAAGACCTGGTCAACAGCATCTCCCACTGACCAGTACTGACATTTTTTCTTCAACTTCAGCACACTCAGTATTGCTTTATCTGTGGATTTCAACCATTGACTGGGGTTGCAAGTCTCATTATGCAAGAATAATTTGTTCAAGAACAAATCGTAGTTCTATTGTACTCTGACATCTGTAGTTTAAGATACAGGAGTTGCTTAGCAGTTGCTGAGGATAGATTTGATGTATATGCTACAATCAGTGTTGCAGCTAGGATCACACCTGAAAAACTGGACAGCTTGATTAACCATTTACTACTCTCTCATTTCTCATTACACAGAGATCAGTCACATGTGCCAGTTAGTCCTTCCCAAAGAGACTTACTCAGTTCTTACATATAGTATATGGAGCTGAACATTAGAAATTGGGCTTTGACAAGGTAGACCACCTAATGAAACACATCATTTGTGGAAAGGTCACTAGAGCTACTGGCCTTAGTTACAGGCCCTATCAATGTGAAAAATCTAAGACATTTTGATTGGGCCAATGTAACTTCCATAGCAGGTGAATCTGTATTCCATCTAATTATGTCTTATTTTTCTGACTGTTGTTCAATTACATATAGTCCTCCATCAATCAAGAACAAGTTATACTTTTTTTGTTGTTGAAAGCTTATATATCAACCTCACAGAAACAATTTTCTTTGCTTTGTGATAATATCTCATCTTCTGGCTATTTCGTTGCATATTCCTAATTGAATTACACTGTGGTCTAAATTATTGCCTTCAACTAAGTGCATCGCTGCTGTTTAGTTAGTCTTTATCTTATGGAAAAACATAGAACTAAAACCAAACATTATAACAAACCCTATTATAACAAATCTGTAGGGTATTATAATTTAAATTATGGTTCATTAAGGCTGTATAATTCATGAGTTGTTTTATTAATAGATCTTTGGACTATTTTTTAATCATTAAGGTGAAAAGTAGGCCCTATTAAATGCGGTTTTTGTTTTAGAGATGAAGATTTATAATTTATCTTTCCATGAAGATATACTAATCGAGATGAACCAATGTATCATAAACTGTTATTTATTTGCCCATTTTTGATCAAGTTAAAATCACCAGTATATCAGACATTAGCATGAAAAAACATGAGCAAGTGTGAAGAGCAACAAAAGTATTGTTTGCATTGAAACATCTAAATAGTTTCACAGTTTTAGTGGCAAAATATGTTTAAAAAAAATTGATTTGATGTATTTATTTTTGTTGTTGAAAATCACTACCCAAGGGAGCTCAGACGAGACAGAACTTCTGGTTTCAAAAGTAGTTGGTTAATGTTTCAGTGAAAACTTAATACTGTGGGCAGTGAGATCGGTGCCCACTCAACACCTTCTCTGCCAAGGACCTAGTAGACCATCTGAGATATGCAGTGTCATTTTCCCTTTAACAAGGCTTGTGTTCTTGCTCTGTGTGTTTCAGAAATGCGAGCTGAACATCGACAACCTGAGCAAACCAGAGCTCCTGACCCTTCTGAGCATCATGGAGGGAGAACTTGAGGCCAGAGATCTGGTCATTGAAGCTCTTAGGGTGAGTATGAAATCTCTGCACTTGTACATTCCTACATTTGTGCATACTAGCTGGGGATTTTAGGGTTTGTGCCATAATGTTATCCAAATCCTTGTCTCTCTATACACTTTTCTATAAATTAAAAGGCAAAAAGCCCATAAATAATAATAAAAAAACTGGAATGAAAAATCAATAAACCATATATTTATCACTTATGCTTGCATATATAGTTAATTTCCTCTCTTTAGATGGTTTTATGAGATTCTATGGATTTGATGTCATTTAGTTTGTTTCTGCTTAACTGGATATGTATATTTTGAACTGTAGCCAACATAGATCAACATGGGTTTTGCAATGACCAATTCTAAAATTTGGTTCAGTGCTGAATATTTGGTGCACATTGTTGTTTATATTCATCATAATTTTGTTATTTTTCACTAATTTTAGCTGTGATTTCACTGATACACTTCAAAAGTTGGGTTCAGTAAGATTTGTTATTAAAAAAATGTATTCCTTTATTCAGAAAGGATCCATTAAATTGATCAAAAGTAACAGTATTTTAAATAAATGCTCTTCTTTTGAACTTTCTAGATATCAAATTTAATATATCATGGTTTCTACAAAAATATCAAGCAGCGCGACTGTTTACAACTTAAGAAATGATTCATGAGCACCAAATCAACAGAGAATGATTAGAATGATTTCTTAATGATCATGTGACATTGAAGACTGTAACTTTGACCTTTGCCATCACTGGAAAATAATAAATAAAATATTAAAATAGAAAACAGTTCTTTTGAATTGTAATAATATTTCACAATATGACTATTTCTGATCATATAAATCCAGCCTTGGTGAGCAAAAGAGATTTCTTCCAAAAACATTGAAAACAATCTTACCGACCCTAAATTTTGTACATACAGAGGTGATGTATATTTTTGACAATCCAAGCACACTTCAACATCTTAAGGTGAATCAAGGTGATAATGAGGAATAAGGTGAGCTGAGTCCAAGGGGATTGTAAGGTCATGGTACAGTGTTTGTCCCTATTTGTCTTTGTATTAAGGTCAGACGTTCACACTGGGGTAAGAGGCCAAGTACATCTGATTAAGATTAAAAATGGATATACTTCCAAAATCGAGGTCAGGAGTGTCACTATATTTTCAGGTGTTCTCGTTCAGGTTGTTTCTGTGAGTTTCTAGGCCAGTGCATTGGCAAAACGATGGGCACATTTTCTGTCTCTCCATCTCAGTCTCCCTTCCTGTCTCTTTTTTGCTTAGTTTATTTAGGTCTGTGATGTTCGCTTGGGTCATTCACCCTCTTCCGCTTTGCTCTGGGGTGGTTTCCATGCATTTTTGAGGCTGCTCTTTTTGTTATTCTGTTCCCTTGGCTGCAAGTATTTCCCAGCTGGTTTTCCTCCTGCGGATATACTATCTCTTTTTCTCCCTTCCTCATCCCTCATTCCCTTTCCACAGCAACCAGTTTGAGCACAATGGTCTTGTTTGTTTCCTTAGGGAGATAGTGATAGGGCCAAACACGTATATACTGACTTTAAGACATACCAATTTAAAAAAGCCAAATAATGACATTTTGTTTATTTTCTAGGCCATACTGTAAATATTGCATTTGATACATGAGAGATGAAAGCAGCAATCCTATGCATTATTAAGAAGCTGTGCGATTAATTAGCGAGCTGAAAAAGCTGTGTGCAATGTATCGTTTTTCATCAGAAACAATGGTGGGACATAAGCAGATTAACTGTGGAGTCACATGCCTACAAACCCTTGGACTTGAGTTCAGAGCCAGTCCATTTAAATCCAGTCACATCAGCTTAGTTTTTGGGCCAGTGTCATTTCGCATTGTACAGTAAAGTTCATTGCAAGACAAATGGATGGTTTTTAGTGCAGACAGATCACTTTGAAACCGTCAACAGTCCCATATGGACATCTGGATACAGAATACAGATGCTCACAAGCCATTACATCTCAAGTGTCCTTATTTCCATTCATAAAGCCAGAAGTGTCAAGTGGAGTAATGGCTGGTCTGTGTACAATGGCAGGACTACAGGGTAACTTTTCTGTCACAGTGTTGTTTATTAGTTAATCTTCTCCACATACGTTTGCCATTATGTTATTCTTGTTGAAAAAGAAAAACAGGCTAAAACTAGAATGAGTGTCCATGCTGGTTAAGGTGGGTTAGCACTAGATTTATCATTGCCAAACTGTTCACTTTTCAGTAGTTGGGGAAGCTGGTAGTGCGTATTAATCAACCCCTCATGGTTTCTTTAACACTTAGCATAATTTGTCAGAAGGTTAAATTCTGTTGGATAGTTAATAGGTTCTTCACTGTAACAAGAAACAGCATGTCGCTGTTCTGAAACCTCTCAAACTTCCTTTTTTAAAGGTTCGGTCACATTTACCAACGTTGTGCATTTTTTTCGCAGTGAAATCCAGTCATTTCAACACTATTGACTATAGACAAAGGACGGTTTTGCCAAACTTTAACAAATGTGACCATATCTTAACCCCTTCTTGAAATTAAACCCCATTAGTGACTGATTTAAAACACTATAGGCAGCAACTCCTTGTGTCATAAACAGTGTTTGACTGGTTCACCATTAATATCAAGAGAGTTTGCTGTTAGCATGTTGCTAAGCTAACTCCACAATGCTCTAATCAGCATAAAATGGCATATAAATATTGGGTAGCCCATTTTAATCAAACGAAACCTTAGGTGAATATATTTTTTAACATTTATCTCACTTCCTCCGCCGTTTTTTGTTTCACTGAGCTTTGTGGGATTGCGCTCTAGGATACATGTGATGCTGCATTTGGCCAAAAGAAGTCTTATGAGACAGTGTTCACATTAGGAACATGTCATTAAATGCCTTAAAATGCTGCCTATGTAGGCAGTTCTCTAGGTTTTGGAACAGAGCCTGTGTGTACCTCTAGGGCCAAAAAGTTCACAGATATTCTCCTTTTCTTTTTAGCTTACTTTCATTGTTGAGACCAGGGGTGTAACTTACCGTCAGCTAAATCTTGAACTTTCGGTTGATTAACCCCAAACCTTGCTTACTCGAGGTATGTGGTTCCAAAAACTCGTCTGGGAGTTAGTTCATTCAACTCAAAAGTATGTTCCTGGTTAAGATTCAAGACATTCTCAACCGAGCGACGAATCGACAAGTCACTATGGAAACGGATGCTAAGAATAAGCATGCCATGCTGTTTCTTTCTTCTTCTTTTGTTCATTGGTCGTTTTTTTTTCTGTTTAATGTTTAATCCTTGAGAATATGAATTATATTATTTGTTTGATGCTAATTATATATTAAGTCATATCAGATATGTATTTTGATTTAGAATTTAGACATTATAGAAAATGCTGATCCGTGTGTGAGATGATAATATAAAATGTAATAAATAAATATATATAATATAATAAATTAAAAATTACCTTGTCATAGTGTTTTATAATTTATACAGATAACTGTTATATATGCCAATAAAATAAATATAATAACCATATTAGAATAATATATTACCTTATTTATTACTTATATTTGCGCTTCATCATTAACATATCATACAAATATGCTATATTACATATTGTAATATTATATAATGTTGTGCGCTATCTGTCACGCCCACTGAAGGCTCGTCAGTAGATCACACTTGCGCTGAAGTGAACTAACCCTGGAACATAACCTGCTCCAGAGCAGGCTATCTTCAGAGAGCAAGTTACTATGGTTACTTACCCTGAAAGTAACCTCCGATTTTGGAACCGAATGCTGAGGTTATCCGCTCGCTTATCCTCAAACATACCCAGATATGTCACATAACCTGCTTTTTGAAATACCCCCCAGGTTTTGTTTCACCAAAACATAAGAGCCTAGGCAAAAACCTGACTTGGAATAATAGACAAACTGGACTGGAGTTGTGTAGTCTGGTTGCTTCAGCACTAATGTGATTGGCTGCTTTGTGCCTATGCCGCTATGATTAGATGGAGCCGTTTAGCTTCTGAATACACTCTCTGGCACTGCCACGTGAGCTAGTGTCAGGTCATCATCACTAAATGAAACTGGATACAGGTTCAGAGATAGCAGTTCAGTGCTGCTTTCTCTGCTTGCATATGAGTGATTGTTTGTGACAGTGAACATGTTTAGCCTCTGATGTGAATGCATATTTACTGGATTTTTTGCCCCAGTTCACGTTCACATGGCTATTATGGGGAGCGTCATACATTTCGATACATTCTTTTTGTGTGGTGGATGGTAAGAATGATTTCCCTGTGTGACTGATAAAAATAGCACATAAACACACTGTTGTCTGTGTACAAGGGCCAAAATTAACACTCGCCAATCCCCAAATCAGTACTGCCCAGTAACCCAGGGAACTGCAGCATAGGGCTTAAATTAAATTATATTTTGTATATAAATGATTAAAATATTATTGTTATATCACCAATAGCATGTAATTTTGAAGACTCTATCTTCTATATATGTATAGTTTTGGAATATTTATCTTATTATATTTTTAAGAAATTATATTATATAGTATTTTGTATGTTCTGTATTTTATTTTAATTAGTAATTGGTAATTTTGTATTATATTATATTACATTACAGTTTTGAACACTGTCTGTAGCTCTTCAGGGAGGCTGAATATTTGTCTGAATATTTATTTAAAATTGTATTTTGTATAAATAAAACAAATAAATCATATTTTATTTTAATTATAATTTAATACTTTCATATCAACTTTAACAGGTAATTGTGGATCTAAAGATATACATGTTGTTATTCTGAGTATATATAGTTATCTGTATATTTCAGAAAATGTATATATTTTTTAAATTATATATATATATATATATATATATATATATATATATACACACACACACACACACACAAAATGTTAATAATTTTAACAAAATAAGAGGGGTCATGAAAATTGCATGTTATTGTTTATTTAATACTGTCCTGAATAAGCTATTTCACATAACAGATGTTTATATATTCTCCA